ATCAGTGTCGAAACAGCAGATGTTCATATCATGTTATGATCTTCCAGTCTCAGGGGATGGATGGTACAAGATAAACACACACCAGTTCAAGATGTTTTACGAGAAGAAATCATGGTCTGACGCAAAGTCGCACTGCACATCTATTGGAGGTGACTTGGCTTCCTTTGGATCGGCCACAGAATATCAATTTGTGCGTGAGGTCCTTCTCTATCGTAAGTATATGTAGTATTGATAGTGATGCGACGTTTATACCTTTGTCTTAACAGACAGTGATACAAAACGGGTAGTGATATTGTGCAAGTGTTGATTGTATGTTTACCCAGGTAACAACTAAACACGAATCATTCTATTGTGGGTAATTAAGGTAGCTAGCCACCCACCATTTTAGGGTTCAAAAACATAGATATGATTTCTGATGGAAATAAGTAAATTGAAGAAGAAATTAATTCTCAAACAACAACAACAACAACAACAACAAATAAAGCAGCTTTCACTAGAAAAACATCTTAGTTTAGCAGCTCTAAATCAAACCATTTGATATATTTTTCTTGGGTTATCCAACCCTATTTGTGGTAATCTGGATCAGCCACAGGATAATCGAGCATTAGACGCACGAACTTGTCCATTAGTTCATCCAATTTTGTTTTTGTTGTAATTTCAGCCAACTTTCTGATGAACAGACGGTTGGATGAATACACGTAAGTTTGTCAACATTGCCACCACCACGTCTGAAATTAATACTTATAAGAGTATATACTCGTTTGTGATTGGCTACACTGATGTCAATCAATTTTCTGTGACTTGACAGAATCATTAATGTGTCAATGCTCCCATRACAGCAGGAAACCAGCAAGAAGGGAACATAATACAATTTTTAATGAATTGAAATGTCATGACTAGTTAGAATATTTTCCAGAGTGTAATAGTGAAAAATACTACAATATGAACATTTTCAACTCCCGACAAAAAAAAATGGAACCCATATATATTACAGAAATGGTCGCTTTAATTTTCTAAAGTATAAAGACATAAAGACAACAGCAAAGTCATTTGCATAAATAACCTTTTTAGATTCCTGGAAGAAGACAACGTTCATAGGATTGACTAAGATGAGCAGCATGACGTATCAAAACTTGATCATCAAGATCACCATCGGCAATAGATTAGAAGTATTTGGGTAATCGGACTCTATTGTTAAGGGGG